AAATATATCGAATACAGTTTAAATTCTGTATGTATTATAAAGATATCTAAATAGGTTTAAAGTTTAATGATGTTAAGTTCTCATATTATTTAAAATATTATTACTATAATAATAATACTTAGAAGTCAATTGTAGTTGGAAATACACGAAATGTTTTACATATCAAATTGCAAATAACTAAAACTAATAGTATGAGTTGAGGAGTATTTCGTTAAATTATATATATTATAATCATAATTTTAGTACTTCATAAGTACTTCTAGTTGTAGTTGTTTATAAAAAGCATAATACCTATTGTCATTACACTGCCCCATTTACTTAAAACTCACAATCAACTTTTGCAACTTTTTTGAACTCTTACACTAAATGCTTGAATTATTCATAATAATGTTATATATAAAAATTTTAGAAAGAAGAGTTCGCCAAATTTATTTTAACATATCAAACGTATACTTATATAGGAAAAATTGTTCACTCATAGCCATTTATAAATAACAATACCTTGAAATTATATGAGAATTATAACTTCATTTAAAAGTAGCCAAGCAATCACATAATACATATTATTCAAATTACTCAGATACTTCAAAGTATCTGGATTGTTTCAATATTCAAAGAATTTGAAGCAAATCAGATATCATAACTATTCGATTAATTATAGTTATGATAAATCTAATAGTACTGATAAATATTAAATAATAAAAACAAATTTCGTCTCGTCTTAAAAACTTTTCTGTGAAATATAATTCTTAACAATTTATTTTTTTGAATGCATATGTTTTTATTTGTTGTTTTCTTTGTACTATAGACTCAGAAATTAAATATGAGAAATATGTATCAAGTTGACAAGAATACCGTCTTCTTGAAAATCTTTACTCATACATTTTATTAGTATTGGTTAAGATTTCACAAATTTATTTACATTTTTCCGAGGTTAAATATTTTAATATAATAGACAAAAAGCTATAAAGTGTTATGAAAGATTCCAGTTGATTTTGTACCAAAATAATGCAATAGGCCTAAATTGGTCGTTGTTATAATCTAACCTATTTAAGATAGAAAGTTCAGCTTTCAAGAACGACCGGGTCTACGTCCCGAAGCCACTTGTCAAGTTCAAGGACCAAGTGCCGTTATGTTAATTACTAGAGTTTTCAATTCATTAATATATATTGCACAATTTTTAGTATTATAAAAAATTTGTTTATCATGCATTTTCTTTCAATTTCTCTGGTTTTTTTTTCGTTATAGGCACTGGAATTTACAATATACCTATAAATTGTGTTAGTTATTACTGTCCTGGTCATATCCAAAAAAATAACTCTAAATTTATTGATCATGAATCTCGTGCAATTACCTACCTCACCTATAATGCGCTTGGTACAGAGTTATTGGTTAATATGGGCGGAGATCACATTTATATTTATGACTTATTAAATGCTGAAGCGCCTATATTTCTGAATTTGCCTGAATATGTAAGTTCAGATATGGATATGGATATTAATTATAGTAGTGATAGCAACTGTAGAAACTGTTCTACTACAAATTACTCTAAACGTCGTAAGTTACCTGAGCATATAGAAACATATAAAAAAATGGGAAACGAACTGCTTGAGAATGAAAAATATTTACAGGCAATTAATAGATACACTGATGCAATAGCTAAAGCACCAAATTCTTCAGTTCTGTATTTAAATCGTGCTACAGCATATATGCGTCGGTTATGGTATGGTGATGTTTACGCTGCGTTACGTGATTGTCATCAAGCTCTTAGTCTTGATCCTAGTTATATAAAAGCACATTTTCGCCTTGCACGTGCTTTACTGGAATTAGGTCGTCCACAAGAAGCTGAAGAATGTGTTAGAGAATTAATTCACCGATTTCCTAGTTATGCTAACAATCATGGAGTTTTAATGCTTAGCAAAGATATAAACGAAATGCAACAAACCACTCAATCACATCAACAAGCTACTGAGGGTTACAACTTACTGGAATTGTCAGAAAATGAATTCTTATGGCGTAATAAAGCTAAGGATTACAAAACTCGGTTTGTAGGCCATTGTAACACCACTACAGATATAAAGGAAGCAAATTATTTAGGAAAGGATGGAAAATTTATTGTTGCTGGATCAGATGATGGAAATTTTTTTATTTGGGAACGCAATACTGGTAATATACAGGCTATTTACAAAGCTGATAGAGCTATTGTAAACTGTGTACAACCACATCCAGAAATTTGTTTATTGGCTACTAGTGGAATTGAACATGATATAAAATTATGGGGACCGATCGAAACAACATCTGAGGGACCTTCACAAATCGTTTCGAATATAGATAAATGCGTTGAAGAAAATCAAAAAAAAATGAGAACCGATCCATTTGATTTAAATACCAGAAATGCGCTGTGTTGGAATGGATAATGTACACAGTTCCTTACATTTACATTATATTTTTTTTATATAATTGATATTTTAATAATGTTTTTATCTCTTAGTGTGTAATTTTTAGAACAATTTGTTAAACAAGAATATAATAAGAAAGCAATACTAAATGTCTATATATAGTCAATATTATACAATTAGTAATTTATAAAATCATAATTTATTGTTAAAAAAAAAAATTTGTTACAAATTAATAATAATCAAAAACTGTTTTTATAAAAATAGCATTAAACTGCAACTTATTTTTATTGACAGAGCAGCATAGTCCATGAGTTGTGTAGTTATATAGCCAACAAAAATGATTTAATACTGGAAAAGAACACAACTTTGTTGTTCTAGGGAAATATGGATGTATATATAAAAATAGCTTCACCTTTTTATAATTTTTAAATTAAAATATATGTAATTGATATAAAATAAAATATATAAAGTAAATAATATTCAGGTATAATAAATAATACATATTTTTTACTAATATGTATAATAAATAATATATATTATTTACTATTATGTATAATAAATAATATATAACATTTACTAATACATAAAACAAATAATATATAATATATACTAATATATATAACAAATAATATATATTATTTATACTAATACGTATAATAAATATATATATTATAAGATATTAATCACGAAATAATGTTTAGTTTCTGTCAAGTTAGTTTCAATAGTCCTACACCGATGGGGAAAATATTTTTTTATTTGATAAAAAAAATTAAATCTTCATCCGAAATTTAAAAATATAACTACCGCTTTATATATGTATTCTCGGACAACAGAAATTAATCTAATATATAAGAGTAGTCCATATTTAGAGGTAGATTGCATGTTTGCAACTGCAGTATTAATTTTTTATTATGTTTGTATTCTTACCTAGAATTGGGTTAGTTCAATTTATATTTTACGGTGATTGTATCAGTAATTCATATATACAATTATCTCATCGGTATAGAATCTTCTTATTTAATATGCTTAATATAGTATACTATAATATGACATAAGAAGCTGAAAAGCGATCGATGACTGACTTTTTTTCAAAAATTTTAGGATGACAATTTTATTTTATGTGTGTATTATAGTATTATCCATATAGTTCCATTTGGTTACAAATGCGTGATTTCTTGATTCAATTTTCGTTATAAAGCCGTCATGTCAGAGTTTTTTACTATGTTTCATATTAATACGCTAGTTAACTTTTCTTTTGCTTAGATAGTTAGTGCAGATTGCTACTCCGAATGAAACCAAATAGTACATTATCAACTCTTATTGCACATGTAGAGAACACGAAATCAAATTATAAAAGTATATGCACACGTACGCAAACGCAAGCAGTATACTTTAAATACGACATAAATGTTGAAAACACTTTACTTTTTGTAAACATGTACCATCCCTATCGGGTGATCATAACGTACATTTATTATGTACATTTCAACAGTCGTAATCTTCTCGAATAACCAAGCTGCTATCAAATCTCTGGTAAGCGTTGCAACTACATCCTTAGTATTTCAAGTAATAACCAAGCTGCTATCAAATCTCTGGTAAGCGTTCCAACTACATCCTTAATATTTCGAGTTTGTTTTAATGAGCTAGCTTAGCATACCAGTGTCCAACTAACATGCGTACCTGAAAACAGAGATATCTTAGATAACTGCAAGGCAGACAAACTTGTCAAGGTAGACAAACTTTTCAAGGCAAACTTAGTGTTTGCTTAGCTGGCAATTAAGATTCCATCATATTTCAAAATATACTCGATCCAAACTAAGCAAGAAACGTTAAGCTCTTTCAACGTAAGCGGAATCTGAGGTATTGCTACAAGCAGTCCGATACATACATATTTGATAGATATGTTACAATACTAGGTCTACCTTATAACGACTTGTGGTTCTGGCTCTGAAGAGAAACTCGTACTTCACCTTCTTAGTTAATGCCAATGTTTAGCGAACTGAAGTTTAAAAATCTTTGGGCACCTTTTCTTGCCGACCTGACAAAACTGTCATCATATAAATTTAGGAATTTAGCCAAATTTATACACCTAAAAGGTTGATTCACTTTCATTAAATTGGGTGTCGTGCCTTTTAGAGTTCTTCGTACGCTAACAACTGCGATCCTTTTGCAGATTCCTTCGGTCTATGTATGTTATAAACAATGGTAACCCGTGGTATCACGACGAACCATCATTAGAGCTCAAGGGAGCTTGACCATCACCCTAACCCAATGTAATATCTATATATATTACAGTATAAATAACATAATATATACGTTTTTCAAAAATATATTTTACTTAAAATAAATGAAGCTCTCTTCTTAAACTGCTTTTAAACATTTTTTATCATCAACATTTTGACTTTCATTCGACGATCGGAATGTCTTCTGTTCGGTAAGGGGCTGTAGCAGCACAGCTACAGAACACTAGTCGCAGTGTTCCGCTTCGTTAGGAAACGGTACCCTGTTTATTTCTATTCTATTGTATTTTATTCTAATCAATTCTATCATAAAATTTACTCAAAAATTAATTTTTAAGTAACTTGCAGCAAAAATCCTTTTGATTTTGTAATTTTTATTATTTAATTATATATATATTTTTACATACATATGTATTATTTAATTAGCATAAAAATTTTTAAAATGTAGAGTCTTATAACTACTTTAAAACACTCATTTTATATAGCGATCTGTGAAATAAAAATAAAAATGATATTTTGATGTTAAGTGATTTAAATAGAATTCTTAAGTCTATTGAAAAGAAAAGAAAAAAAAAATATATATATATTTATATAAATATATATGTTTTTATATATATGTATAACGTTCATATGTATAAATGTTTATATATTTTAAGGCTAACTAAAGATAGTCAGAATTGCAAATTAATGCAACTTAAAGGAAAAGTATTTTACAACATATATTAAGTAAATTAATGGTAATTAATGTAGATTTTTCTTCAACTGTAACTACAATTATGTTTTTAATTCTAATACTAAAATGAAATTTTATTTTACATATTCTTTTAATTTACAACTATAAAATTCACAATTTATGTCATATTTAAATGAATAATAAATAAAAAGCAAATAATAAACTAAATATTGGAATATTGTAAACATCAATAATGCGTTCATAATGTGGCATATTTTTAAATAAGATCAATCAACATTGGATGCTTTTAAGAATATATATTTCTTAGATTTATCTTTTATTTTTGCACTTGTATGAAAGTTATCCAACTGATTAGTTGAAATGTAAATATTACAAAATCTGAAGGAGTAAAGAAATAATGCGATATAAAGATATAAATTGTGACACAAGAAGGAAGTAATATTTTGAGTATACAAGTATATAGTTAGTTGGACATAGCTCAAAATATGTCTTCAAGTTATATTTAAAATGTAACATCGCTTTACATTAGATATCAATTAACTTCTATACTTAATAAAAATATACGTCAAGTCAAGTCGAGATGTTTAAAAAATTTAAGTTATATATATCTGCATACTTATAAAGGTATATAATTATGTAGATATATATGTACAGAGATAAGAATTTGTATACTAATTTTTCTATGAATGATTATTGAAATTAAAAATAACACGATTTTACTGTTTGTTGCATTTTAAAAATTCTTAATGTTACATTGTATTTTAATCAACCCTCCCGTTTTATAGAACTAGGAGTTTCTGCTAAGCCTTTAACTTTCAGCCTGTCAGCAGTTTTTAAAAATGCTGGTAACTGCTCTTGGGATACATTAACTTCACCGGCATACATAAATTCGAGAATAGCTTGCAGATGAATATACGAAACATCTTTAAGTATAATTATTGGATGCTTAGAGGGATTCTCCTAAAATTAATAGAGAAAATAACTAAATAAATACGTGTTCTAATATTAACAAATATATTTTTAATTACCTCCAAGAGCGCCTTAAAGTAAGGGCTGCATGCTGAAAGTACCATTTTATGAGCTTTGCATGTTTGACCTTCGCATGCCAATGTAACCTAAAACATAAAATAAAATTAACATAAAATTTTGGCATGATCTTATTTATTATAAGTGCTATAAGTGTTAAATTCTGTTTTTATTATTTTATTATAACATAATATAGTGGATGTATTTGCAGACTTGAGACTATTACATATGTACATATATAATTGTGGTGTAGTAAACGGTACGAAAATTAACGATGACGAAACACCAACATTAAATAACTTTAGTATACTTAAAATTTTTAGTTAGAAAGACAAATATTTAAAAAGAAATAATACTCTTATCAATAATAAGTAAAATTACTTTATTGAACATCTGAGAATTTCCAAGATTTGAACTATAATACGGTATATATATAATCGTGACTTATCATATATGTAATCATTTTTCTCGTTTTTGCTTTGTTAGATGAGGACTGTTATTTTTCTTACACACCTGCCATACTTGTCGAACAGAAACAGAATACATGAGGTGAGATGTTATAGTTGCAAAATTAAGGGATAATGTTTATGCAGATAATAAGTGAAGTAGGTATAGACAGGGAAGGAATTAGAAAGTATAAGTCAAAGTGAAAGAATTCCGTCACTTTGATGGTGCGAAGCCACTAAAGCTGGCTAATAGAATTTAAATTGGTATGTTATGAGGGTGCGTTTAATAGAGTTAGAATACGTCTTGAGGAGTAGAGTTGAATTTGGTCCACATATTAGAAATTACTGTATTTATAATTGATACGAGAATATATCTCTATCTAAATTGAGCCAGTACAGTTTCGGCTGCCTGTGTCGTATTGTATGGACAAGGTCATTAACCGGGAAGGGGTCACATCTGTAAAATTTTTCTCCTTTTTGTTGTATAAACCGAAAAGCAATCAAAAAGTGTTATATTGAAATAATTATTATCTATTTTTATCTCATTGCTATCACATGTAGGTTGATGAAGGAAAACCACACTAGGTTATAATTATAAAAAATTAATTCAGTCACATTCGATCACACTTTTAGAGAGGAACCAGTACCCTACCCTGTATGCTCATATAGACTACGTTCATGCGTTTTAATAAGAAAAGTAGTTAATATTTGTTGTCCTCATGTGTGGTAAGTGTTTATGATATGATTATAGAATACCCAATTCTAACGAAGGGAGAAAACTTAACTTATTGTGATGCCATGTGTATCACAAGTTGTGTAACTTGAGTAAATAATTTTTTAGGAATACTTATTTTATGTTAAAAGATTTTTTTTGTTAAAAGTTTGGGAAAGAAGTTAAAAAGATATTAACCCCACCTCTATTTCATTTTATTTTATATTCGGGTGTTTTATACATATAAAGTTGAAAATTTAATAATTGTGGACATGCTTTCAGTACAAAAAATAAATTTTCATGTGCTCTTAATATACTAAGTATATACTTGGTTGATTATTAATAACTCAAAAATCTATTATTATATATTCTTAAAGTTTAAATTAATACTTACATCTGTGAAACTTTTCTCATCCCGTAAATGTCGGAATGAAGTAACCATATTCGTTTGAAAATCGTTCCATTTTAGAAAAAACTGTTGATCGGACGACATCATGAAGCTTTTTTTTATAAATAAATAGCCAAATAACAAGTAGTAGGAAAGAAGATGTTTATCTAAAATTAAATTTATAATTAAAAAGTTTGAATATATTATATATAAGTGAACTATTGGTGAGGTATTTCAGCATTATTTAAATTGAAAGCCTTGCTTTCAAGATTAAAGAATATCATCAGATATTAAGGTTATCAGATAGACCTCAAAAATATAATTATATTCTTTATATGACATATCATATTCTTTAATCTGATTGAGTATGATCAGATTTCTGGTTTGTAGTAACATCCCAAAATTGGATGCTACTAATATAAAACTGAGCTTGATTTATACACGAAAATGAAACTTACAAACACTTTTATGATGGTGGTTGAAAAAAAACTGAGACTGTGATGGAATTAGAATTAAATAAAACCCGTAACGTTTCTAGAAACAAATGGCTCTCAATTAGATTTATTGAAAACACCCATGCAACCAATAACTAAAAACGAAATCAATCTGAAACCGTATTAGTTCCAAGCAAACACGAACGCAGTCAAATTTTCTTCTCTAATAAAAGTAGTTGCCAATAAATCCCGAGAATATCTTTGAAAAGATGAGACCAAATCTAAAGAACTCATGAACGATAGATTCATATATGATTAAAGTTCTCAAAGCAAATAAATTAAACCTAAAAAGGAGAATCAGAAACGGGTAATAATTACGGCAGACACTGAAAAATATGGTGAAATAGTGGAGATTTGGAGTTAGTTAGAAAATTAAAAGATGATGGCCAACATAAAAGAGACCCTCCCGGAAGTAATAAGAAATTAGTTCTTGGGAAAATTTGTTTCTCCAAAGAGGGGGTATTTTTGTTCACATGCTACATATTAATATGCCAGGAACTCGGGCGCACCATTCCGACGACAGTCAGAAAAGAAGAATTATATAAATCAGAAACAGTTTCAATAAAAGGTGGGAAGATTCAGCGATGTGCAGGCATCTGTATCCAATTTGACCTCGTTTCAATAAAAGGAAATCCAAATTTGTTTTGCTCAAAAACAGAAACAGTTTCAATAAAAGATGGGAAGGTTTAACGATATGCAGGCATCTGAATACAATTCGGCCTCGTTTTAATAAAAGGAAATCCAATTCTATCATTAAGATGCCCCGTAAAGATATCATTCTTGTGGTAGGTTTACTCACAGGTCACTGCATTTTAGGTAACCATGTTAAAAAGATTGAATCTCACCTTTCAATCATACCTGCCGCAGTTGTAAAGAGGACGATGAAAGGCCTCCCATCTATTTTGTTTCTGTCCGGCACATGCACGGCGCCGCCTTATCACTTTAGGGGTTTTCCTTTTTGAAGAACTAGTCAACTTAATAAGCTTTGTGTGAGATTCTAAGTGGTTTTAAAACTCTGAGTTTTTCTATGTACGATAACATAATGGGTCTATAGACCTAAAAGGATCCTTTTTGGGATCGCCGTTATAACCTAACCTAATGGTCACATAGACAACTTATCCAATTGGTTCTTCTTACAGTGTCGCTTTTCGCGACAATTTTTTGCTGGAATTTCTGCTGAAAATAATTGAATATCCTAGACCAATACTAGCTGTTTTAGGAAAACATATAATTTTATAAAAACAAAATGCTATTAGAGGTGGTGGCGTCAGAAATATAAAACTGTTGCCATGTCATAAAGAAATCCAATGAAGAATAACAAACTTAGTTATTTTTATCTACTTTTGGTAAATAATTTTGAGAACAAAAATGGATAACTACAACTTGAGGTAGATCAGAAAATATATTTAAACACATGTTTAGGAGAAACATATAATTTTATAAAAACAAAATGCTATTAAAGAGGCGGTGCCGTCAGAATTTTAAACATGTTGCTGTATCATGAAGAAATTAATAAAGGAATAACGAAACTTAGTTACTGTTATCTACTTTTCTTAAAGACTTTAAGACTTAAGGATCAATCATACTTTAAAACCGACATTCACGTGCCAACAATGTATTACCGTTTTTTATTCTTATAATCGATTGCAGTAAACTCGAGCTTTTTTAAAAGTGTTGCTGTATCATGAAGAAATTAATTAAAGAATAACGAAACTTAGTTACTGTTATCTACTTTTCTTAAAGACTTTAAGGACTTTGAAAACAACAAATAGATAGCTACAACTTAAGGCAGATCAACAAATCATAAGATCTATTAAACAACAACATATGTTGACATGGGTTGCAAGAACGGTCGGGTGTACGTCCCGGAGCCACTCGTCACCAACGACGACAAAGTACCGTTCAACACCAACCAAAGAGATTTCACAAGCAGGTCCCAACGGGTTACAACAACAACATATGTTGACAAGTGTTCAAAAGTCTACCTGATTAATTTATATGAAAGAAATAAGTAAATAGGAATATATACCTATAAGTTGATTCATCCTCTTAAGCTATCTATTGATTCATTTACTGCAAACATCGTTACTAACTTAATATAGCCTGCCTCTTTACTCTACGGATGAAGGCGTATAAAAACGCACCATGATTAGCATTTTATTCAAAGTGTGAAATAAGAAAAATACTATTTATGTGTAGCATTTCCATAGTTATTGTATGACAACTTAAATGTCAAACGTGGTAAGCATTGATTAGGAAGGTGAGAGATGCAAAAGTGGTTAGTTAAAAAAAAAAAAAGAAGAATAGTAAAGAAAAAAACTAAAAACAAAATGCCTTTCACTTTTCAAGGCAATTTTCGTATTTTAGAAGTAACAAAACATCGCTCCAATAGCACCGCGAACTAATGTTTGGTAAACACGAACAATGAGTTAAAAACTCTTTCAAATCACTTCAGTTTTACACACTCCCCATTGCGACTGACTTACTATTGTTATACATAAACGACGATTGCACTCATATGTTATAAAACTTATTGCAAACGTATGCGAATATTTAACTGTTTAAAAGCGCTGATTTCTTAATAATTACATACATATATACACAGATATATATATATATATATAAGTATAGATATAGCTAAATTTCCTTTTGAGTAGTTGAGATGCACGATAAAAGCTTACATTTTTTCAGTTTTTTCTTGTGAACTCACTGCTCACTCACACGAACTTAGACAACTTGCATTAAGTATTTGTACAATTGCGAACCTACGTCGTTTCTCCATTCGTTTTTATTTCGCAACTCTCAAATATTTTTCCATATACAAAATTTTCCCACATATGATCGTATATTATAAATATAATTAAATTTGTTTTGCTCAAAAGGTTCATAATTAATATATCGTGACATTTTTAAATTATAAAGAATTGATATTAAATATATATTTATAAATACATTTCTGGAATTGAATAATTTATTTTATTGAAATTATTATATTTATGAGTAAAGTCCTCAAAAACAACACAATAGTTGGTGGTCTTCATTGGAATGCATTTTTTCGTTCGTATGAGAAAAAGTTTAAAAATGAGTGAAACTACGATAAATAATGCAGCAGCGCCCGGTTGATTTCACTTTTCAGACGGAACAGTGTTCTTTTAAACTGTGAACAAACTGAGTTTTTACAATAAGCAATTGTTTTGGATTTTTTCTACAAGAGGAATACCAATCACACTTTAAAACCGACATTCACGTGCCAACAATGTATTACCGTTTATTATTCTTATAATCTATTACAGTAAACTCGAGCTATTTAGACTTTATATTACGAAAATTTCATCAATTTATCAACTTCTTGAAACTTAAAATGAATATACACTTTACATATGCAATTTTTTTTTTTGTTAACTATCACCAATAGTTTACTTCATGTAATTTATATGAGCAACAGAGACAACAACATTGGTTGCCTCATTTTGTCGTCATATAATTTATAGAACAAAAGACCAAACAATCAAACGAAAGTTGCAACATTTTCCAATGAATGCAATACTTTACTAACGATAATATATTTTCTCAACTTCGTAGGTGTAGTTAACGTAAAATGAGGCATAATTTAATGTTAATAATTTTGAATATTGAGAATATAAAAAAATTATTATATTTAATTAAATATAGCAAAAATGAAAGTCTTCAAAAAATATTCATAGAAAATTATTTTCAAAATTATTAAGTATACTTCACAGAATCAAAATTTTAATTTTCCTCGGGATCAGTCTTTATTATACTTCTGAGAATTAGCTTATAATTTATTTGACTCACAAACAACAGTAACTAATTTTGGCGTTTTGCATTTCATAAAATAAAACTGTGAAGCAATAACAAAACACAACAACAACATCCATAAAAACAACTTACATTTCTAGAAAAACAACTTTTTCATAGAAATTGTTTTTTAGGTCGCCTTGGACTCATTTTCGTTTTTTTTTTTCATTTCGTGCCGCGTTGCTTTTTTCACTTCATGCACAATTGCCTACACCTTTTTTTATTTATTATAGTGCAAAAGCCACTTTACTTAAATAATTTCGCAAGTATTACTAATTTGTTTTGGATTAAGCAATATTTTAGTTTATTAAATCTTAAAACCTTTTTAATTTGGCTTACCTCTTGCGCTTTCTGCTTTCCAATGCACAAATTTCTTTTACTTTTCTTTTTCACTTTACAATTCTCTTTTTACTCCCTTAACTGCTGCCTTTCTCTTTCTAATTCACGCAATATTTATTTTTCTTACTTTGTTTGATATTAGAATTGTTTAATTATTTAATATTTAAATTATTGTTATAAAATTTCCACTTAATTCCGTGCCAAACTTTTTAACGTTTTATTGTACGAATCACTCCGGCTTTCTGCTTGAAGAAGAAAAACAAAATGAAAGTCGATCGTATGTTAGCGATTTTCTTTCTGTAAAATTAAAGTTAATAATAAAATTTTAAATACAGAGTTGCATTTCAAAATTAAAATATTTGAATTATGCCAATCATATAGTATGTGATTACTATTGATATTTTACAAAACGTAAAAATTATTTAGACGTACCTTATTAACTCAGTATTAGATAGAATAAGAGCATAAATCCTGACATGATGCCCTGCAATAAGGTATATACATAAAATTTTACAAAGTTACCGATCATATTTTCAACCCCTTCAGCTTTTTATGCAAAGTTATCAAAATATTTAGTTATCATTAACTCACGTTAAATTGGTGAATTATTGCGAAATTACATTATATCTGTTTTACGAGCTACTCGTAGTAAAACTCAAGTAAAACACAAGTAAAGTTGTAAGTGAGAATGTAACACAAATAAAGTTCCAAATTACTCTCTTGACACGGATTTTCATGGAACAGCTTTGTGTAAAATGTGGTGAGAACACTAGTGCCGGGTAAATAAGCAATACAAAAATTGGAATTTCACATATCACACAAGTTTTACTTGAAATAAAATGTACGAGTAAAGTCTGTGTAGCATTTTCAAATTTCAAAATCTCTCAGATGCTCTCATTTACTCGAAAATTTGCTACTGGAACGCACCTTTGTATACACAGTGTTATTCAAAATTACTACTAGTAGCTCGTGGAACAGGCCCTATTATAAAATATGTCAATGCAAATTGTTCCATATCAAAGTGACAGGAAATAGGCATAATACTGTTTAACACTAATCTAGGAAGACAGTGCCAGAGAAAATTCGAATCGAATAAAATCTTCAACCATGGAAATTTTTAATATTTTAAAAACAACAGTCAAACAAGTAAAATTTGACAACATGATATACATGATCAAATTGATATCATTAAATATGTATGATATTATAAGTAACATATAAGCCTGCACTTTATTTTAAGTGTGGCAAAAAATAACTTTTTGTTTCTATGAAAATAGATGTATATTAACTTCTACACGAGGCTAAACGCTTGCTAAATAATTTGTATTAAATATAATAATATATATGTGTATTAATATATATATAACACATTAGTAAAAAAACATGTCGTAGGACATGATAATTTGCTAAATTGTTAAATTTAAACTATAGGATTAGTTATTGTCAGTTAAAAGTGATTTTAGTGATTATCGAATGACTCGAGCTATTTTTGAAAAAACTGATTATATTCCTATGCAGTAATAGCAAAATAAAACTAAAATTCGATTTTCTACTGAATTTTGAATTGAATTGAAGTATAATTTTTTTTATTAGTTCGTTATATACTGAATTACAATGCAATGGTCTATTTCGTGAACCATTCCGTGATCTATAATGGAATAATACCATTTCAATATTAAAACGTGACCTTTTTCAAAATTTCTTAGTTTTATTATAATTTTGTATATGAATAACTGTATTTATGTAAGCTATTACGATATACCTCTATATATAAAATCCTAAAAAAGTTTTATTACACAAACAAAAAAGTGCAGCAGTTAGTTAGGTTAGGTTATACCGGCGATCCCAGGGGGATCTACTTAGGTCTATAGGCCCATTGTGGTACCGTATTATTTAGAACCCATGGGCTAAAACCATCCAGAACCTTTAACAAAGCTTATGAAGTGCAGCAGTTACTTTTGATAATATTTTTATGGAGATAGATTGTATAATTGAAGCGATTAGATTTCACACTAAAAATACCATCAAAATAAATATTTATTTTTTTCATAAGCATATATTTGTGGAGTTGTATCGGTAAAAAGACCTTTTAGTACATCTACTTTACTCTTTACTCGTAAAAGGTTAAAACTTTCTTCGTAACATTAAAATATTTTAATTTAGATATGTATATCATCTAAAATATTTTTTGTTCCAATTATCATTGTTGCTTTCAACTTTAGTGCTATTTGACGTTAGTGCCTTCGCCGTAAGTGGCACATGTGGAAATATTTGTAAACAAACCTAACATATTATCATTTAGTTTAAATTAAAAAAGTAGATGTCTATAAATCTTAATATGATAAAACTTAATAAAGTATATTTAGCTTTAAATATAAATTATTACCAAAAACTACGTCAGTGCTGTAATGCAAAAGTGTTAGATCCAGTCAGTGCACGATCAAGAGCTTGGCAACGAGTAAGGGAAAAGTATGATAATTATGTAGGTATCGTCTACAATTCTACTTTGGAAAGACAGAATTCCATGTCAAATAAGAAAAGAATATCTCTAAATATGAAATTCCAAAATAATGTAAATACATATACTTCAAATAATAAATTTGTTGAAATAAAATCTTTAAACACAAAACCAGCTGCAATACATGTTCCAACAAATTGGATGAATGATTATGAATTTTATAGTGATGTAGGGAGTAATAACAGACATGGCACAGAAGACAGTAAAATACCACCTTCAAAGGTGCCTTGTGGTGGTTGTGGAGCATTTTTACAATGCTCTACCTCAGTTTTACCGGGTAAATAAAGTTAGTTTTCAAAAAAACCCAAAATGTTTCATATAACATACTTATTTTCAGGATTTATACCAGTGGAAATATTTAAAGGACGTACACCGAATGAATTAAAGCAAATTGTCTGCAAACGTTGCCATTTTCTAAAGCATTATAACATTGCACTGGATGTGGAAGTAACACCAGAAACCTATGTAGATACTATATCGCGCATCAAGGATAAATTTGCATTAGCGGTTATAATTGTTGACTTACTAGATTTCCCATGTTCAATTTGGCCAAAAATGTCAAATGTTTTAGGAAATAAAAGGCCAGTTTTCATTGTTGGAAATAAAGTTGACCTGTTACCACGCGATTCAAATAATTATTTAGAGCACATCAAAAAATGTCTAAAGAGTGAAATAGTGCAACATGGTGTTGATGTTATGAATATTAAACATGTCAGTTTAATATCTGCAAAAACAGGATATGGTGTGGAGGAACTTATAACTCAGTTACATAAAATATGGAATTATAAAGGTTTGTATGATTTGATTTTAAAATGTTCATATTCGTAATAATTTTATATGCTAGGTAATGTTTATATTATGGGTTGTACTAATGTTGGAAAAAGTTCACTGTTTAACATATTACTCAATTCCGATTATTGTCGTCCGCAAGCATCTAATCTTGTACCCAGAGCAACTACGTGTCCTTGGCCTGGAACAACATTAGAAATGTTAAAATTTCCTATATTGCGACCATCGTCAATAAGAGTTTTTAAACGTTTCAAACGGCTTGTTTCAGAGCGTGCTGATAAAAATGAAGAACAAAATCTTCGTCTGGAGTTAGCACGAAAAACTGGTTTAAATGAAGCTGCACAACCTTTCGGTTCTGTACGTAGAACATTTGATAATCGCGAAGATGTGAATGATGTATTTTCTATAAGTTTAGGAATGCATCCAATTATAAGTATAAATGAGAGAAGTGCAGAGTATGCGCAGGCTAGATGGTGTTATGATACACCAGGTGTTATGCATCCAGCACAAATTACGAACTTACTAAGTTCTGAGGAATTAAAACTTTTAGAACCTAAAGAAATTATATGCCCACGTGCTGTTATTTTACAACCAGGATTTAGTATATTGCTTGGTGGATTAGCTCGACTAGATTTAATTGAATGTAAAAATTATAACAATGGCATCAAAGTGTTTGCCTTTAGTTCACCACAATTACCAATTACTGTAGCTCAAACAACAAATGCCTGTGATATATATAAAAAATATTTAGGCACTGAGATACTTGGTTTCCCATTTGGGTCTGAAGAACGTTTAAACCAGTGGCCGGGACTTCAGTGCAGAAGAGAAAATCTGCATATGGTTGCTGCTAATGGCGATGTTTTAAGCGGCGATATTGTACTTTCTTCAGCAGGTTGGATCGGTGTTTATGCTCCAACTGGGTGTGAATGTGTTTTTCAGGCATGGACACCATATGCTCGTGGTATATTTTTGCGAACCCCTGCACTTGTTCCGAATGCAACACGTTTGATAGGAAAACGAATAAGAAATACTTTAGCTTATAATTTATCAAAACCATTTGTTTTTAAAAAATAAGTTTTCTGTATGAATAAATTTACAAAGCGAACTGATGAAATGTATAATTTCAAAAAACTGTTTATTTATGTGATAAATAAATATGTTATATAGCAATAAAGAACCAAAGACTTATTGTATATTCTATGTAGCTAATGTTTTTTTGCATTTTTATTTAGTGTATATTAAAATATACTATATTTTAAACTACTTACAGAAACAATTATATGATAGGTTATTTTAATTGTTTTAATTTATAATATTTTTTTCATATCATTGAAATAGTTTATAGAATTGTTACTTCCATGAAAATAGACTCTTAGAAAAAAGTGATTGTTGTGGTGGAAATCATTGAATGGTCAAACTAAAATCTAATAACCAAACCAAAATAATAACTAAAAACAACCAAAGAGTGGAGACAAAAATCATTGAATGTAATTCCGCAAGCAGTTATGTGGTAATTAACTAAAATATTTAAATTTAATTTTATTTGTACATATACCCATAAAAATTAATAAATATTAATATTATAAATGAAATACGTAGATTACTAAATACATGCAATACAGAAATTTAAAACATATAATTACCAATTTTTTTATTTGCAACTTTAAAATAGACTTCATTCAGTTGCTAAATTTTTTATATTATAACCCAATAAATCTGTAATAACTCTGTATATTTCAAAAACACACACTAAACTGCGTCACAAAACCAAATATTTAGCGCTAATTTGCGACTGCAACATTAAAATTTAAATCAAAATCCTAAATGGACGTACTTTGTTTGCGCTGTGATTTTTTTTATTTATATTAATATAATAATATTTGTTTAAGTAGAGGTGGTTACTCTATTGCTTCCAAGGCATCACAGCGCTACCTGCGAATCAATAGCAACTAAACCTGACAGCTTAACAACTCTTCAATTGCGTATTCAGACATGTCCCACCTGTAAATGGGGCATTGCCTTTCGCGCATATGAAAAAATATTTATGTATTATATATTTTCAAACCCTAATAAAAATACAAGTTTAACTATTGAATATAATTCAAATTATTTTATTATATAGATTGTTTTATTTGGTTGATTATAAAAGTTTATCCATTGTTAATTTTATATTATATAATAGAGAACAAAAAAAAAACATATAGTTGGATAAAAAATCTATATTTTATATTAGCCTCACTGTAGGGTGTTAAAGAAAAATCCATCCGAATAAACATACAAAATAGGTTATTTGATAATATATAAAACTATTGTGTGAAGTGCCTAAAATCGAATTTAAATAATAATTGCTGTTGAAAATTTTTGCTTATATATAAAAAGATAAAAATATGTAGTCGTTATAGTTATATATTTTATATATAATAGTTTTAATATATTATAGTTTTATATTTCCACCGTGTTTTATGTGTGATATCGTAGTATAAGTATCGATAAAAAAAATATTGCCAATAACATTTTTAATTTTTTACATCTACCACTCGTTATATATATTTTAATAAGTATTGCTAAATATTTTTTATATTTGTTTTGATATACATTTATATAAAATATATTTCACCACTTTGCGCTCATTATTTGAAGTTATGGTGTCATATGAAGTGTGCCACCATGTGCCGAATGTTTGCCACATCTGGTTTTGTGAGATCCTTGTTAACTCACAAAAAATTAATACTATTTTAATATATCGAGAATGCTATTATAGCGAAAATGTATTGATAAGTGGTTTTTATTGTAAAACAAAATTTTAGTTAAAAAATCTTGTATTTATTTTAATAAATGCAATATTTAAAAGCTTATAGATATATAAACGATAAAAGTAAGATTCGATTCAATATAAATAAAAATTGAAACTGGTGAAATGGAGCAGAATCCTATTGATCACTTTGTCACAGAAAATAGTGGAACTGCTAGATTTGTTGGTTCCGAATCTAATATAAGTAGCACTGAAAATGATTTGGTGGGTGCATGTAGCTCTACAAATGCTGGTCATGAATTTTTAGTTACTAAAACCTCAAATGGACAAAAACAACAAATTAATACACGGAATGGAATTCCACATAGTGAATTAGTCAAAATGTTATATTACTTAGAAGGTGAATTACAAGCGAGGGATGTTGTAATAGCTGCTTTGCGAAATGAACGTTTAAAACAGTACATAAGTCAGTTGAACACAAAACGTGTTACACCAAATGATCCTTATGCTGCAATTTTTCGTGATAAAATAGCACTCTCTGGTAACTTAATTACACGAGAATCATCTACACAAGCAGCGCAAGCTGAAATGGAGGTGCGACAAATTATTGAACAACAAATGGAACAACAATATCAAATGGTCAACAAACAGCGTGCGACTCACTTGCGTATGGTCAGCATCTTAACTGAGTCATTAGAAAACAATCAACGCATGCTCCAAGAATTGGAAGAAGAAAAGCGTAAGCATGAACACGATACAGCCCAAGGTGATGATATAACATATGGATTAGAGTTAGAGCGTACTAAGCTACGTCAAGAATTAGAAGAAGAACGAGCTCAAGTAAAAAAACTTGAAAAAGATGTAAAAAAATTGCAAGAAAGTCTTGATTATGAAAGAAATCGTCAAAAGCAAATTGTTCTACTGCTAATAGCAGAGAGAAAAAAAATACTTATGAAATATATTGAAGAAGGTATATATATATTTACATATGCTTTAAAGAAAGTTTCATATTTTATGATTTTTTCTGTACGCAGGAAAAAGGTCTGAGGATTTGGCACAGATATTAGCAGAAGAAAAACAACGCTCTGATACAATAGCGGAAGGACTTGAAGAGGAGAGTAAAAAATCTTTACGTATGGAAGAAGACCTAGAACGACAAGCTGCTTCTTTTGAAAACGAGCGAAGAATTTTAAATACAAATTTAGTCAAAGAAGAACAACGGTAATAAAACTTTTTCAATTTAAAAGTATTTGTTAAAATAATAATTGTCGAAGATATCAATTAGCAATACAGTTAAAGCTCTATTTAGCGGGCATTGACAGGATTATCAATTTTGTCCGGTTAACCTGCAACATTGTATAATAACCTGTATCAACCTGTATGACAAGAGCGATATGCGTTTATGATAGTATCCGACAGAGCTTTCATTATGTATTATTAGGGCTAGTTTTTGTATGTAAAAAAATGTATCTGATTTTAACATTTAATTTTATTTATTTGTTCTCATATTACAATATTATATGACATTTCTTCATTATAATTTTATTTAAATATATTATTGTAAGTAACGTAAACAAAAATTCCATTACATTGTATATTATGGGAAAGAATAGGTACACATTCTAAAATTTGTCAAATGAGCATTTTTTCAGCCATGCAATGTTGCTAGTCCCCAATTTTCATTTTTCATACAATGAGTTTTTAAAAACAAAGAAAGTTCTTTTTAAGTGAAAAATTTACTTATTTATTCATCAATGTCTGCTTAGGAGAAATTTCACTGTTTTTGTTATTTTATTTTGTATATTTATATAAAACATTTTATATATAAAACTTGCCACACTATCGAAGTTTGTATGACTTCTTCATTAAGTCATAATGCAATTGAAATTGAAAGAGTATTATCATTATAAGGATATGTAGAGTATCTATATTATCTCCGAAAGAGGCAAATAGCAGAGAGAAGAAATTGTTTCTTTATACTTTTTAAGACACAAAATCTGATAAATAATCATGGATCTTGCCTAAATGAGAGTATCAATAAAGAAAAATTTGTTCATGTTGAGTCTTTTCCGAGTTAGTGCATCTGGGCATTTTTACTTTTTGATAGCTGGAGGGTTTCTGCAGAGGCCCAGGGTAATAGGCCTAACTGACTAATGTATATACCCCAGTAGGTAGGTAAAATTAGAACGAGCCAACATGTCATTCAAAACTAGTTTAAACCTCTTTTTGATATTTTTAAAATTTGTGTATACTAAGAACGTTAATATTACACTTTAATCTTAGCTATAATGTTGAAATATTTCTGTTTATGTAGTTATTAAAATATAAATTATATTTGGTTCTAAAGCAAAAGGTAACTTTCTGGTGAAGGCATTGTATTTGTTAAAGGTTTTTCTTTTAATTTTTTAAATAAAATTTCTGTTTCTCTATTTAAAATTGTTTTTTATTTTCAGTGTAAAGGAACTTGAATACGAATTAACGCTATTACGAACAGAAAATGAGTCACTAAAAAAGCAACATACACAACAAAATGTTTCAAGTGGTAATGTCAGTGCCGTTAAATCAAGAGCGTTTACTGGTAAGTCTCAATAATTTAAATTTTGCTTTTTACACTTATGCATTTTAATAATAATGATAATTTTTCCTAATTTAAAGCAGAATTATTTTTGTAATAACTTTTTAATCAACCATAATTTTATTGAAAAAAGGTGATTTTGTTTTAATATTAAAATATAAATTTAGATGGCTAATTGTATTGCTCACTACATAAAGTAGCTACACAACTAATTTTTATTTCAATAAAATAACTAATATAGTAACTAATAAATATAAATTAATTTCAGATGAAACTTGTGCATCTCCAATGGTTAATATAGCAAAAATCGTACAACCTACAGCAACTGTTTCGAGTGTTCCTGTTTCTGGACCAACTACAGGTATTGCACGATCAATAACACCTGGTCAAAATATACGTACTGGTTTATCAACAGCAACTGTAACATCGGCAGTATCGCATGCTAGTGCTGCTGCAGTTAATGAAATATCAGGTGCAGCAGTACCATCACCAGCTAAAATGCAACCTACTGCCACTATACAACGTGCACCTGGTGGAAAATATTCAGCACTGGCAGCTGCTGCAGCATCACATTCTGTTGAACAATTAACCTCACATCCGGTACCGATTGCAGTACCACCAGTTACAGTCCCAGCTGGTGCTCGTGGAGTGCCACCACCAATACCTCCAAATAAACCAGTTGTACCACCAAAACGTGAACCATCATTATCACGTTTGGGTTCGACAACATTAAATGCAGTGTGCATGCCAAACACTGGAACAACTTCAACTGTTAATACAACAAATATTAAGCCTAATTAGATTAAAATCATAACAGTGCTAAGTTAAACTTAATTATTTTTAGTAAACGCCAAAATAGTTGGAATATTTGTGGGCTGTATTTATAAAACTTTTATATTAGCTCAAATCTCCCTTTCTCTGCAAAAAATAGTACTAAATAGGATAATAATTAAATAATTAAAATATCGTTTATTTAACTCGGCTATCTAGCTTTCACTTTAAAGAGTCTTCGGTATTAAATATAATAACTTATATAAAGTTAAATTACCTATATCTACTTTTATGTATACATACATATTCATAGAAATGTGTGTACACTATTTTCAATATACTATTTAACTTGTTACTTTAAAATAGCGTTGTGCTTAATAGTAATTAAAGGCTTTCTCATTTAGAATACTTTAATTTTATACATTTAAAATGAGATATATGTAAATTTTAACAAGCTCCATTAAAAACCTGAATCATTTCCTTAAATATTAAATTAATATAGTTAAAAATCAGCTTAATATCTTCACGATAATTTCTCTGATAACAAATTTTTATTTAAATAAAATATACATCATAATTAATTAAACTATCCGGTTGAGTTCTTTGCTAGCTAAAACAAAATATTGGATTTGTTAAATATTGTGTACAATGGGCCAATAGGCCAAAGTGGATCCTTAGGATCGCCGGTATAACCTAAATTCTGTTTGTATAGACAAGTTTATTTAGAAAAATTCGTTGGGTCTAGATTGTATCTATCAACAATAAACAATTTTCCCATGCGAGCAATCCGAATATATGTAACAAACCATACTACCTGAATCAAAAATTATCACTTTTTTTCTTATTTATTTGTACTAATTAAAACTTATGTGAACAACGTATAAATAAGTAAAATAATAATATAATATTATATTTCTTAGATATATTTTAAAATATTAACAATGTGCAATCCAAAGTAAACAAACAAGTCCTTTTATAAATAATAACTAAAGGTTTTTTAGGAAACTCGGTTATTTAATTTGAAATAGTCTCCTTTTTTACTTATAACAGCAAAAAGCCATGTCTAAACATGTAATATCTATAAAACAGTGTAAAAGTATTCTAGTTTAGCGACCGGAAAGTCGATCAGGAGATGTTAGTAAACTCCTTTTAACTTATATGTTAACAAAACTTTCCTTTCATTAACAAGTAAATTATACAGAAAAAATATATGGTGTATAAATTAAGTGATTGACCTTACCAATGTATACAAGTGTCAGTAAATGTCCTTACTACAAATACCTACTTTTAAAGAATTCTGTTTGCTTTCGAAGCCCTCTTATATATCACTAACTATTCGAAGTCCTTTTAAATTTTTTCCACATTAAAAGCGTTAATAATAATAACTTTTATATACTTTTAAATTGTTCACATAAGTCTTAAGTAGAATAAATTTATAAATTATTTCTCCATATTTTTTAAAATTGCAACACTTTTATGTATCAAGAATTTGATATTTATTTATAAATTAGTTATATTCTAAGTAACACATTTATGTATTAAAAGTTTTATATTATATTATAAATTAGTTGTATTCTAAGTAAAAAAGAAAATTACCATATCTTTTTTTTTGTAAATTAATTTTATTCATTATTTTAGTACTATTAACATTGTTTTAATGGTTATATATGCAAAAATATTAGAATTTTTATTTATTCCATAAAACATGCACCGGTGATGTGTTAGTCTACTAATAAGAACATGTACTTGTGCGGGATGACAATGTATCTCTTTTTCCTCGCAAGTTTGTGATTTTGTTACTAGTCTAATTTGCCATTTCCACTTAAATAAAAATATTCTGTAGAGTAAAACACATTTTACCTAATATCGCTAAGTTATAAATGCTTAATTGTATTTGTTTTTACAATATCAAAATTAAATAAAAAAAAAACCATAATTTTACAAGTTTTTATAAATGTATCCAAAATTTATTATAATCAAGTGTGCAAGAAACTAAATATATATAAAAATAATTATTAAGAAAAAGTAATATGTTATAAATATTAGAATCGCATAGTTCGATTAAAAATAATGTATTCATATTATATTACCTATATATATACATATATAACCTAACCCATAATTGAATTTTCTATAATAACTGCGCGAGATAAGTTGCGCGCACATGCTAAACGTAATAAATTGATGATCTCTTCAATATTTTCAAGTCGATAATCTTTTAAAACGTTCACAGGCTCCTAAAATTATTAAATAAAAATAAAAGCGTTAAAAATAAATGTTATATATTTGTTTAAAATTTAAAATGAATGTTAAGCATTAGTTAATAAATAAAGTATGGGGAGCTCAGTATAGCTTTTGAAAAATTTGGCCAATTTCGATAACAGAAGCCAGTGTTCGAAATTTTTTCCGATCGTTATAAAGCTAACTTAAACAAATTAGAAAATTTTCGTTTCAATTATATAAAACAAAAATATATAAAAATATTTATAAATAAATAAAATCCTCAAATAAAACTTTTATAACTTATATTAGTACTAAAGCACAAAGATAAATGAAAGAGCTAGCTTTATTAGCTTAGGTTTGAGTGGTGGCTTTGTGCAAAGCCCCATTGAGCTTAAATAATGACCCATTGTGATACCACGAATTAGCATTGTTCAAATACATATCAGAAGCATCTTTAAAAGGACCGCAGTGGTCAGTGTACAGGCAACTCTGAAAACATGTCTTAAGTCTTAAACTTGGTTATGTTCATTATTTTATATGACAGTGTGTCAGATAGGTAAAAAAAGATGCCCATATATTTTTAATCTATTAGCTAAAAATGTACACTGACAAAGAAGGTTAAATACTGATTTCTCCTCCTTCTCAAATCAACAACTACGATTAAAGTCATTATAGGGTAAACTCAGTCTTATATCATGTCTTCCTAGTACGCAGTCACCTGACCACACCGAAAACGTAGTGCTTAATAGGTGTGGTCAGGATGTTATAAGGATCTGATTTCATCCGATTTGTTGCATACTATTGTAATTGCGTTTTCATCTTTATATATACACATTTATACTAATAAAAATGTTCATACTAAAAACTCACATTTGGAAATTTTTCAAGACGTTTTTTCTTTTTTTCGATAAGTGGCACCAATTCCGACTCTAAGTGATATAAAATCGCGCAAGTTTCCTTGGATAATATTTTAGGGTCTTTAGATTCTAATAATGGTATAGTATCGATCAACAAAGACGGCCAAAAGCTGAAAAAATGTAAGAAAAATAATTAAGAACCATTCAATTTTGTTATACACATTATATGATATTTTAAATACTTACTATTCTGGAGTTATTTTCGAATCTAATAGGTTTACCAAAAGTTCAGCTGCAGGTAAAAAATTACGTTTACGATAAAATTGATAGAAATCAAAATATTTAACTAGGAACACAAGACGTGGCGATATAAACATCTTAGGTCCAATATTAGCTACAATATCAGGACATACCATATCACCTGTTTCGCCATAATTCTATACAAAAAATTGTTATTTATTTTATATTCAATTGTATTATATGTTTTAATACTTTTAAAATGAAATCGGCAATAGAAGTGACAAAAATGTTATCTTTAGATCGAATTGCCCACTCTAATGCATTACCATAACGCTTGATACTAAATGACTTCTTAGCTTCAATTTTACATATTTGTTGTTCTAAAATAGTGTTTTGTTAATAAAACTTAATTTTTAAAATTAAAATATTTATTAATACCAGCATCAATAAATCCCAACTTTCGTGCAATTCCTATAACCTTCAAGGCTTGTTTTTCAGATTTGATTACAACTTTGGTTAATAATAATTCCTGAGCAACTTTGCCTTTAAATATATAAAAACAAAATTATTCATTTTAGTAAATGTAAATACGCTAAGTGTATTATTTCTATTATAATACCTTCATGGGAACAGTAATCTAAATAATCAATTCCTAGTTGCCATAAAGAGTTTCTTGTCATTAAGCACGTTCCGAATTCATATACTAATGAGTGTCGCAGCTTTACGCATTCACTAAAATGATCTTAGTTAAAATTGTATATATATAAAATTGTAAATACATTATAATCCATACCTTATGCGTTGATTACCCATATTTTCCAAATTTCCGCTGTTATATAATAAGTCACATAAATGCGTTATGAACCATTGATTATCAGCTAATAGCTGAGTTTCATGTATAACTTCATGTAAATTATTTTCCATAAGACTTAAGATTATTTGGTCTAACTGATTAAGAAGCAGGGATCTACTGTTAATATGCTTTTGTTGTGCAAACCGATCAAGCCAATTATTCGCAATATTACCAAGTTCAAACAATTTACAAGTAGGATTTGAATAAAAGAGAAAACCAGGAAAAAGTTCATACCAGTACTCGGCATTTTTAATTTCAGCATTCCAAACATCTGTGTTGCAAGTTATCAACTAAAAGAGTATGCATTAAATATGCCTTTAATTTTTTATGTTAATTTAATACTTGTATAATTTCTTCCAGTTTTGGTTCACCAGCCAGAATATTGGAAGATAATTTTTGTTCCGTATCAGTTAACCAGTATTGCCATTGAGCACGAAATTTTTGTACAGAAAATCCAGAGTGTATCTTTTAAAAGCAAAATATAATAATAATTATTTAGTATATACTATTATATATCACCCTACTTACATTACAGTTCGGTATCGCTCTAAGAATTTGATCCGCTAACTGATATGTGGGTGAATCTATTAACGGGTGCAAATGTAAAAGAGCTCGTGCTACCTCTATTTGCCCCTGTGTAATAAGACTTTTTAAAGTTGGCCAGTAGTTTTTATTGTCACTAGCTTCACGTCCCAACAGTAATAAATCGGTTGCTAAACGTTCACCAGTTGGAAAGTGAAACCTTATCCAATCCAATAATTGTGGTGATATCAAGTTATTTGAATTTACATCCAAATATAAAATTTCACATAAGTGCCAAATGCATTCTATAGGGTAGAATGTAGAAATGTATCGTTGGTATTTTTCTTCTTCATCTATAAGGGCGGCGTCTTGCA